GTGGTTAGGAGCCAGCGGTCCTGGATTGCAAGAGGGATGTCCAGCTGCTGGTTTAGGCCCAAACCGGCAGTCGGACATCCCCTGAGGGGTCCTGGATTGGGGAGGGTGCAGGCTGGGCTGAGGAGACCGCCCCCCCCCCCCCCCGCGCAAATTTCATGCACCGGGCCTCTAGTCTATATATATATATATATATAATGCAAATAAACCAAACAGCAGAACAATTGGTCACTATGAAGTGCACTGACCACCAGGGGATGTGCACGGAACTTGGTGGGTGTCAGCTGCTGTGGGATGGTGGAACAGGTGAGCAGGGGCGCCAGACCAAAGCGAGGCACTGGTCGCTATCATCGAGGCGAGCTTCTGATGGTTACTGAAAAGCCCGGCCCTCACACATGCTGCCATCGCCAGCCCCGCTCACACCCACTCCCGGCGCCGGTGCCCCATCACTCGTCGACATTAGCAGGTGCAAGCAGTGACTGCTGGCCCCGATCGCCACTCAGGGCTTCTCCACCTCCCCCTGCTCCTGAGGGGCAATGGGGGCAGCAGCTCCTGCTCGCACCCGCTGATGGTGCTGGCCCTGCTTGCACCAGCTTTTGGTGCTGGCCCCAATTGTAATGCACCATCAACGGGTGCGAACGGGGCTGGCGCCATCAGTGCATGGGAGCGCTGCGACGGGAACAGCGGCAGTGGGAGCAAGACTGCTGGCAGATAGGAGACCGAGGCAGGAGGGACCAATACCCATCCCCATGCCCACTGCAGCCTCGCGACCCACAGTGCCTTTCAAGGTACAGAAATTCGTGCACTGGGCCGTGTGTGTGTGTGTGTGTGTGTGTGTGTGTGTGTGTGTGTATAAAATTTTAAATGTGGGTAGCAAAGTGAGTTTCTGGGCTTGGGGTCTTATGAGGAAGCTATGGTTCTTTCTTGCATCTCTGTCTCTAAAACTCATGCTCTTCCAATGCTCTTAGGGAGGCTGAAGTAACAAAAGTGAAAGATCGTGGTGCCCAGTTTCACAATAGCAAGGTTCATGGAGACATGAAAGTGTGTCACTGAACTTTCTAAAGATCATTGTTGAGACTTGTTTATATTCTATTAGTGTTTATATTGCTGTTTGTAGGAAACATCTATAATTATTTAAAGTTATTTAATTATAAGTTATGGTTCATCTGATTCGATGTTATATAAGCTTGAATATTAAAAAATTATTTTTTTGAAATTTATTTTTATTGATTTTTTACAGAGAGGAAGGGAGAGAGATAGAGAGTTAGAAACATCAATGAGAGGGAAACATTGATTAGCTGCCTCCTGCATACCCCCAACTGGGGATGTGCCCGCAACCGAGGTACATGCCCTTGACTGGAATCGAACCTGGGACCTTTCAGTCCACAGGCCGACGCTCTATCCACTGAGCCAAACTGGTTACGGCTAAAAACTTTTTTAGATTGTTTATTTACTTTGTTCCTTAAGATCAGACTTAATCGAGAGTTTATGCCTCTGTTATTTTATGAAAAATTAGAATTGTTCTTCGTTCTGGGGTGTTTAATTTGTAAAATGCCACTGAACCTAATTGTTATAAGCATTCTATAATATAAAGAAACTACCTACCTAAAGTGTCAAGCTAGTGTTCTTCACTAAGTGTTTTTCAACATAGCTTTCTCTCCTGAACTTAAAACAATCTTTTAACTAGCTCCCATTCCTGCAGATCCTAGCTTAAATGTCACTTTGCACTAGTGAAAGTGATACTGTCCTTGAAATCCTTTTCCTATTTATATTTCCTTTAACACATTGTACTTTTCCTTTATAGCACTTATCAACTTTACAATTTATTTTTAAGGACTCTTTTATTGGTATCTCTCTCCCCTACTAGAGTTTAAACTCTGCAATGTCAAGAACAGTGTCTATTTTATTTACCATTGTTCCTAGTGCCAGGCACTCCATAAATGCATTTTAAGTTACTTAATGAACAAGATGTCCTGCTCTTTTATCTCTCGTTTTTGTTCTATACCAGCATTTCCCAAAATATATATTAAAAGTTCTCCATGAACTATTAATAGATATTTTCTGAAAGAAATGATTCTGTGGTCATAGGTTTGGAATGGCTATATGAAGAATCACAGTTTACATTAGCATGTTAAAATCTCTCAGTTTTAAAGTAGAAAAATCTAAATTTAGAATCTAGCATTCTCTACTTTTTTTTTTTTTTTTTTTTACTATCAAACTCTTTATTCTATGATAAAGGAACATTTTTAATCATTAAGGAAAGTGATTTTATATATGACATTTAAGCTCCCTTTCCCTCCTCATACAAAAACAATTCAAATATAAACATAGATTTAGCATTCTAAATTTGAGCATTCTATTGAAAATGCAAACTAACCACTGATTCAAACTGGCCAAGGCAAGATAGGTGATTTTAAAATTCAAAAGGGATGTTAAGTTACTACAAGGAATGATGGGAATATATGTTGTTGTAACCTCATATACCCTTTGAGCACTTCCATTTGTAAGTTGTCCTATATACACTTTAACAAGTCCACAACAATGTCTTGTATATAATAGTGCAGGAGTGGTTTTTGCAGCATTCCTGAAGGATTGGCATTTAGGTTGTTCATACAAGTTTAATGTTTAACCCTTTTGTTTTTTTTCTTATCAGTGTCTAGTTAAGTAAATTATGGAATCTCTATATAGTGGAATACAGTGCAGCTGTTGTGAAATCTGTAGAAGTGTTAGTATGGAAAGATCTCCAGAATATATCAAGTAAACCAAGGGGTAAAGCTCTGTATGTTGCATAGAATACTATCTGTAAGTAAATACACACACATACACACACACACACACACACACACACACACACACACACACGAGGCCCAGTGCATGAAAATTCATGTACTGGCAAGTGGGGTGTCCCTTCAACCTAGCCTGCCCCCTTTCACAGTCTGGGAGCCTTTAGGGGAGGCCCATGGGGAGCAGGCCTAAGCCGCAGTCTGGCCTCCTTCTGCGGGAGGTGACTGCGCCCATCTGGGGAAGGCGCTTCCCCCATCACCCCACACTGTTGATGCTGCCAGCCTCCATGGCCACCTGCCCTCGGCCCTTGCAGCCGCTGCAGCTTTGTCCGGAAGGACGTTCAGGAGACGTCCGGTCTATCTGGTCTAATCAGCATATTACCCTTTTATTAGTATACTAGAGGCCCGGTGCACAATGCACTGGGGGGTGGTGTTCCCTCAGCCCAGTCTGCCCCTCTCACAGTCTGGGAGCCCTCAGTGGATGTCCTACTGATGGCCACAGTCTAGCAGCAGAGGCTTGGAGCAGGCGTCCCATGTGTGTGTGTCTGTGTGTATGTGTGTATGTGTCTGCTGGGGCCTGCCCCTAGCCGCACCACGTAGGCTCAGAGCAGTTGCTGTGTGTGTGTGTGTGTGTGTGTGTGTGTGTGTGTGTGTGTCTGTCTGCTGGGGGCCTGCCCCCAGCCACACCGTGGAGGCTTGGAGCAGGCACCCCTCTGTGTTGATCTCTCAGGCTCCTGGCCTCCACTGCGTGTTGTACTCTCCTTTGAGCTGTGGCCACGGTGGGGTGCTGCCTGCAGGCCGCGCTTTCCTGCTTACAGATCGCCTGATTGCCGCGGAGACCCGGGGGCAGGCCCTCCTGGGTGCTGCCTAAAGCCGCACTTTCCTGCTCTCAGATTGCCATGGGGTCCCGGCTGGGTGCGGGGCTTAGGCGGCACACGGGGGTCCTGGCTGGGGGTGGGGTTTAGGCGGCACATGGGAGTCCCGGCTGGGGTGGGGCTTAGGCGGCACACGGGGGTCCCGGCTGGGGGCGGCGCAGAGCTTAGGTGGCACACGGGGGTCCCGGCTGGGGGCGGGGCTTAGGCGGCACACGGGGCCCGGATGGCAGCTCGCGCTGTCCTGCCCTGCCTGCAATATGCAAATTTGCCATCTTTGTTGGCAGCTAATTTGCATATCATGCTGATTAGACAATGCGAGGCATAGCAAAGGTACGGTCAATTACCATCTTTGTCTATTATTAGATAGGATCTATCTATCTATCTTTAACAGAGGCTACTTAGGAGGACTGGATTTTTTGTTTTCATACTGTTGGAATGTTTTTCATCCTTGAACTTTTATTTTATATACTTAAGAAAACAGTTAAAATTTAATAAAATGTTTACCAAAATTCAGTGATTATAAGGCTATATGAGAACTTCGTATTTTGATGGCAGTTGGTAGTTTCACAAACTGGCAAAATCATCCTTCATGGTGACTAAATCAAAGCTTATTTTGAGCAACTGTTATATGACACACATCATATTAACCATTTTATATACACTTACTTACCTTATTTAAATCTCTAACCAAGCCTATCACGTAGATTCTATTTCTCACTTACTGGAAGAAATAGATTTAGAAGACTGAAGTATCTTGTCAAGAGACATAAAACTCCAGAGCCTATGCTTTCAATCCCTATACTTTAGTATTGTTCAAAAGGGGTCTGAAAATTAGATTTTTGTTTTTTTAAGGTTATTATTCCAGACAAAAGACCAGGTTTGAATCTGTATCCATTTCATCAAGTAAAAATAGTGTATTCACTATCCTTCTTTGAAAATATCATATTAGTATGGAAGTGAGTAGGCGATTAGAATCAAAATATTTTTTAGCCATAGCCTGCTCTGTTCATAGAAGTTTAATGTTTTAACCCTTTTGTTTTGAATTTCCTCTGTAAAATGCAAACTTGAAATAACAGTTTTAGTCAGCTTTTGGAATTTTGTATAATTTAACTGTTAATTTCAATGGAATACTCTTTTTTAATATGAAGAAATGTACAATGTGTCGAAAAAAATCTTTCTAACTAAAATACTTGTACTACTAACTCTATTGTTATCAACATCCTTTGAAGACTACTAAAGTCCCTCTATTTTAGAAACAAATGAACAAAAGTCTCTTTATAATGCTATACATTCTGTTGGCTTTTTAAAAAAATACATAAACTTACCTATTTCCCCCTCTTTTTAGGAACACCATCTTCAACGGGCTATTTCAGCACAGCAAGTGTATGGCGAGAAGAGGGATAATATGGTTATACCTGTCCCAGAGGCAGAAAGTAATATTGCTTACTATGAGTCTATATATCCTGGGGAATTTAAGATGCCAAAGCAGCTCATTCACATACAGCGTAAGTATCTACTCTCTTAATAATTACCCTATCTAATAAAAGAGAAACACGGTAATTAGCGTACATCCGCTACCCTTCCCATTGGCTAATCAGCGAGATATGCAAATTAACTGCCAGCCAAGATGGCCGCTGGCAGCCAGGCAGCTTGAAACTAACATGAGGCTTGCTTGCTTCAGTGATGGAGGAAACCAACGTTCCCCGCCTGCCTTGCCGGCCTCTGAGCTTGCAGTTTGAAACATAGCTACAAATATAGAAGCTAAACAAAACCCCAGAAACCTGCTTTCAGCGAGCCGGGATCTCAGAGCTGGAGTTGATACAGTGTTTCGATTATAGAACCCAAACAAACCAGATACCTGCTTTCAGCAGCAGAGGCCTCAGAGCTGGGGTCAGAGCTAAAACTGGCCCAGAATAAAAAAGAAAAAAAGGAGCAGTTGGGAGCTTCAGTTACCCGCCAGCCTGAAAACCGCCCTCAGCCCCTCACCCAGACTGGCCAGGCACCCCAGTGGGGACCCCCACCCTGAAGGGGGTGTGACCAGCTGCAAACAGCCATCATCCCCTCACCCAGGCTGGCCAGGCACCCCAGTGGGGACCCCCATCCTGATCCAGGACACCCTTCAGGGCAAACCAGCCGACCCCCACCCATGCACCAGGCCTCTATCCTATATAGTAAAAGGGTAATATGCCTCCCAGCACCAGGATCAGCGGAGCCGCGAGGCCGCCTGGCACCGGGATCAGCATGACAGGGGGCAGTGCCCAAACCCCCTGATCGCCCTGCGGCTCTGTGTGTGACGGGGCGGGGCCACAACCTCCCTATCCTCCCTGCTCTGTTCGTGACAGGGGAAGGCGCCCCAACCCCCTGATCAGCCCTGCTCTGTGCCTGATAGGGGGGAGCTCCCCAACCCCCTGATCGCCCTGCGGCTCTGTGTGTGACAGCGTGTGGCGCCCCAACCTCTCCTCCCCCCACGGGCCCTGCTCCATGTGTGACGGGGTAGAGCCATAACCTCCCCATCAGCCCTGCCCTGAGTGTGACAGTGGCAGCGCCCCAACCCCCTTATCGGCCCTGCTCTGTGGGTTATAGAGGGCGGCGCCCCAACCTCCTCATCCGCCCTGCTGTGTGTGTGACAGGGTGCGGTGCCCCAACTCCCCTATTGGCCCTACTCTGTGAGTGACAGGGGAGATCTCCCCAACCCCCTGATTGACTCTGCTCTGTATGTGACAGGGTACGGAGCCCCAACCCCCTGATTGGCCCTGCTCTGTGCGTGATGGGGTGGCGCCGCAACCTCCCCATCGACCCTGCCTTGAGTGTGACAGGGGCCGGTGCCCTAACCCCCCAATCGGCCCTACCCTGAGCGTGACTGAGGGTGGCATCGCAACCTCTCAATCCGCCCTGCTCTGTGCATGACGGGGCGGCGCCCCAAATCCCCAATCGGCCTTGCTCTGAGCCCGACCAGGGGCTGCACCTAGGGATTGGGCATGCCCTCTGCCACCTGGGAGCAGGCCTAAGCCAGCAGGTCGTTATCTCCCGAGGGGTCCCCGAATGCGAGAGGGCACAGGCCAGGCTGAGGGACCCCCCCACCCCCCCGAGTGCACAAATTTTTGTGCACCGGGCCTCTAGTCCTATATAATAAAAGGGTAATATGCAAGCTGACCCTAATGGCGGAACGACCAGACTGACTGCTCAACCAATCACTATGAGGCGCACTGACCACCTCTCAGTCCCATTCCCTGGCTGTCAGCCTCCTATTGCCCGATGGCAAATGGGGAACCACCCAGCAGCAGGGGGTGGGGCCAACTGCAGGCAGCCGGGGAAAGATGGCCCTAATCACAGGCCAGGCCTTGGGACCGTATCCGCACATGAATTTCATGCACCAGGCCTCTAGTATTTTCTATATTTATCTTCCAATGTAACCCTTGACAGATTTTTATCTGTTCAAGGCCATTTTCGGTACCCATTTCATTGACCAGCATTAATGAGATGAGCATTATTAAAGCCCATTTTCAACTTTTAAAATTGTGTTTGAGATTTCTGCCGGACAAAAATGATACCATTTTTATCCTAGATTTTTAGTTCCATCTCAACATGGGATCTTATGCTACTTTACACGAATGGTATAAATGATATGCCTCAGATATAGAAATGGTTTTCTTACTGTTCAGAAACTGTAATGTTAATAGTCTTAAAGAACATCTTAATGTCAGTCAGGAATTGGCAAACTTTCTGTAAAGGTTCAAATAGTAAATGTTTTAGGCTTTGTGAGTCTTTTCTGTCATTTGTTGCATGTATTCAACTCTGCTGTATTTTGTAAGGCAACATCAACAATAAACAATACATAAACAAATGGACATGGTTGTGTTCCCATACAACTTTATTGACCAAAAAAAAGATGGCAACCCAGTATTGGCCCGTAGGCCATATTTGCCAGTCCTTGATCTGCGTTTCTAATTTTTTTTTAATTTAGTTTTCTAATTGTTTTACTTGGTAGTGATAGGTTCTTCATTAGAAATTATCTATCTTTTTTAATGATTTTATTGATTTCAGGGAGAGGAAGGGAGAGCGATAGAAACATCAATGATGAGAGAGAATCATTGATTGGCTGCCTCCTGCACACCTCTTACTGGGAACTGAGTCCGTAACCCAGGCATGTGCCCTGACCGGAAATCGAACCGTGACCTCGTCGTTCGTGGATCAATGCTCAACCACTGAGCACACTGACTGAGCTAGAAATGATTTTTCAATAGCTATCAATAGCTATCAATAGCTATCAAAGATGATGCTATATAGCTGAGAGCTTGTAGATTAAAGGAATATGTACTGTATATTTCATTCTCTTAATTCCCAAGTAGTTGACAACTTAAAACATAGTTGATTGGTACTAAGGTAAAATTGCAACAGCTTTCATTGTTGTCTTGCTGACCTTTATAATCAAGAGGTTTTTCCAGGGGACTTTCTAAACTTTATTCCCGACAATATAAATCTATTTTGTTTTTTATTATTCTTTCTAAGGACACTGAGAAACTAGTTTTTATCTCATTAACTACTTTTCTAACTCATTTAACTTTTTCTCCACATGATCTAGTTTTTGTCCTGAGTTTTAAACATTTATTTTATTATTTCTTAAATATAAAAACCAAAAGTAAACATAGTGGCCATATTGGTTCTTATCAGTACTATACTGGCAGTTGATTTGATTTTAAGTTTATTAATCCTCTCATGAAAAATCTGTACAATCACCACAGATAAAGTCACTGAAGAATCTTTACTCCTTTTTACAGCACCAGCATTGACCTTTGCAGTCCCCCTGCCTTTCTTCATTCTGTTCTTATGTTCCTTTTGATGTTTTCTCGAGGTCTTCTTTTCAAACAGGCCATGTCTTGTAAGTCTATGTTTGGGTTCATTTTTCTTTGTATAATCCAGGGAATCAAATTATGCCAAAGCCAGTTGTCTTACACTCACTACCAAAATGGATTCTGAATCCAAATATAAAGATGGCATCTGTTGTGGTCTTGTACATTTTGGCTAGTTTTTTTCAAACTTTTGTGTTAAGTACTATTGTCTTCCCTTGGCAAAGGACATCAATGACCATGTGTTTCTGCTGAAATAGTTTGTTGGTCAGGAACTTCCTGGTCTGGATAGTTATGTCGTTCATGATGGCAGCCCATCTTCGAGCAGCCAGGGAGTAAAAGAGCTGGCTCATGTCTACTTCATTATGTTGAACACCTGAAACTGTCATAGCCAGAGTGACTTTAAATTCCTGAATCCATTTTTTAGTCCAGAATGCCTTTTGTTTCACAAAATCTTGGCCCATAACATTTCAGGCCCTAGCTATTCCCTCAGAGATATTTCTAGAGGCTGCAAGTCCAAGATCAGGGTGCCAGCATGGCAGGTGTGGTCTCTCTTTCAGACCACAGACTTCTTGTTATGTCCTCGCATGGTGCAAAGGGGCATTTGATATTTTTAACTTGTGATATTTTTTCATCTTTAACTCTAATTTGCACCTAACCATATTGATTTCCTTTAGAAAAGAATAATAATTTCACTTAAAGGTTACTTTGAAATGAACCAAATAAGTGTCATGTATTTTCTTGCCCACTCACATAATTTATTGCTCATAAGGCACAGACACGGACATTTTAAACAAATTTGTTCAATATTAGAGCCTAAAAGTTAGTTCTCTGGAAAATCACCTCTATCTGTAAGTTATAAATCTGATCTTCTATATATATTTACTAGAGCCACATTGTATTCCACAGCCACAGACTATATTATCTTACAAATGCATGCTTTTAGGTTAAAACAGGATTAAGATAAAATTACATTAATCAATTTACACTATCAAAAAAAATTTGCATGTTTTACAAATACACTGCTTATTGATGACTAAAATCCACAAAACATTTTGCTGGTATGAATGAATTAAATTCTGGTTAGAAAAGTCAAAAGCTATATTTAAAAAGAAATTGACTTTGCTGACTTTGGAGAATCTCAAATCTATTCTTATCTTCAATTGGCTTAGGAAAGAGATCTTAATTTACTCTCTTATATCTAGTCAGAGCTTAAAAGCAAGAAACCCATATAAAAATCATTATTCCCTTTAGTTTCATCCTCTAGGTACCTTCTAATCTAATTCACTGAGTACTGCTCAACATTCCTTGATCCAAGGAGTATTAAAATGTTTCTCTTTTGATTGGTGACCTGTAAAACTTCTAGATTACACAGTTAGGACTTCTCCTTTCCTATTTATACTGGAAGAAAGGACAAAACAGTTCTGACCTGAAGACAGAAACAATTCTCTCTCTCCCTTTCCCATGCACTTGGGTTTCAAAGCTCTGCTGTTAATCCTCAAAGGAAACATTTTCTAAAAGGTCTTAATAGAGGAGAACCAAGATGGTGGCATAAGTAAACACCTATACTTGCTGCCTCTCACAACCACATCAAAATCACAACTAAAAGGCAGAACAGTGACCACCCAGAACTGCGGGAAAGCTGGCTGAGTGGAAGT